CCAACTAACATTTATTTTCCACCCTCTTCCTGATGGTTACGTTAGGCATCCCACTTGCCCAACCCAATCACTCTTGAATTACCCGTCCAACTCTGGCATCCTGAAATATCTTCCAAAGGCTACTACCATTTGCCAATCAAAGGACCTGGCAAGTAAGTTAATTTATCTCAAACCAACCACCTTGTATTCACTTGGTCCAACTAACTAACATTTATTTTCCAGCCTTCTTCCTGATTTGTACTTTAAGCCATCCCACTTGCACAACCCAATCACTCTTGGATTACTCTGTCCAACTCTGGCATCCCGAACTATCTTCCAAAGGCTACTACCATTTGCCAATCATAGGACCTGGCAAGTAAATTAATTTAATTTCAATCCAACATCTTGTATTCACTTGGTCCAACCAACTAAAATTTATTTTTCAGCCTTCTTCCTGATTTGTACTTTAAGCCATCCCACTTGCCCAACCCAATCACTCTTGGATTACTCTGTCCAACTCTGGCATCCTGAAATATCTTCCAAAGGCTACTACCATTTGCCAATCATAGGACCTGGCAAGTAAATTAATTTAATTTCAATCCAACATCTTGTATTCACTTGGTCCAACCAACTAACATTTATTTTTCTGCCTCCTTCCTGATTTTTAATCCATAGCTAGGTGCTGTTGATAATAAAAGGAATTTTAAGTTAATCAATTAATCTCTTCATCACATCCTCCCCATGCCTTGAAGGTCAAAGAGTAGATCCAACCACATAAAGAGGAGGAATGTCCCTTGAAGGCAACGCTGATTATCATGCAAGCGTGATGGGGATGAGTAGGGGGTACCAGTGGTTGGATCAGTTGGAGGCTAATGAATTCAGGCAGCTTCCCAGATCATGAATGAGCTCCCAGCTAATGAATCAATGACTAACTAATTTTTTTTTTGTCTGGCTACTTATTGATTTGTACTCCATAGCTAGGTGCAGTTGATAATCAAAGGAAGTGTAAGTTAATTAATTAATCTCCTCATCACGTCCTCCCCCATGCCTTGAAGCCCAAAGAGTATATCAAACCACAAAATGAGGAGGAATGTCCCTTGAAGGCAACGCTGATTATCATGCAAGCGTGATGGGGATGAGTAGGGGGTACCAGTGGTTGGATCAGTTGGAGGCTGATAAATCAAGGCAGCTTGACAAATAATGAATCATTGACTAACTCAAAATTATTTGTCTGGCTGCTTCTTAATTTGTACCCCATAGCTAGGTGTGATTGATAATGAAAGGAATTGTGAGTTGATTAATTAATCTCTTCATCACATCCTCCACTAATCCTACTAATTTGATTAGAAGAAGTTAAGTTTTTTGTAATGAATTACTTCTTGAATCTTGATCATGTTGAGGCCAATACTAATGGCATTAACTTCTGCTTTCTCTTTTTTATTGTTGAAAATACTTGAGGACTAGTATCTGAGGGGGAATCAAATAAATTACATGAGGCATCTTGAATTAGTGAGCAAGGAGTTGAGATTACGGCCTGAAAGCATCCTCTGGGTATGGTAACTAATACTCTGTCTCCTCTCCCTGTTTTTGGTTGAAATTGGAAACTCTAGTAATTGGTACTCTGTCTTGGTTCCCTGTTTTCACTAGAAATCAGAAACTTTAGTAATATCCAGTTCCTAAATATGAAACTTTAGGGACTGGATTTACTTACTCAACCAAAGGTTAGGCACTATATGTAACATACTAATCAGACGTAATTAAAGTCAAAACTTTATCCTTCCTCCTGTCCTTACATAGCTTTATCTAAATGATGAGACATCATCCCCCCCCCAAACAAACCGAACTTACATAGGCATATGGAACCAGGCCAGATGGAACCAGGTTCTTATCCTCTTTTTGATTGGTACCCTGGGGAAGGAGGATCGGGAGGCTTATGTACAGGTCAGCTCCATCCATATGTTAAATTCCTTCACTAGTACCCCCAACACTAAAGATCCTCCAAAGTAAGTCTGAGACACAGAATATTCAAACCTCATTTTAAGTAAAGAATCACAAGAACATCAACCCAAGTATACTGGCTTATCATCTGTGCTTACTTTTGGACACAGTCCCCTCATCCCCTCCAGGTGATCAGAATACGATCCGTATTCTAATAGTCGGTTTACCCACCAAGCACCCACAATCAATATTAATGATCACTACTCACACCACTGCTTCCTCCTCCACAACATTGACTCCAGTTCCCTTCCCCCTTGTCATTCTCGGGAAAACATATCCGTGAAAGCAAAGTGCCACCATGGAGGTATCCCAAATCTCAAATGTTACAACGGAAGCCATCTTGTCACCACCTGCTGCTGCTGGGGTGGTTACCCACAAGCTGCAAAATCCCACCTTCAAAAATGTAAGATATCAATCCACCCCAACCTCTGTTCTTGTCCAACACCTTCACTGTACTCGGTCTCATCATACTTACTGATTATTGGTATCAACCTTTAATATTTGGTTTCCCTAAGGTTGATAAAGCCAATCAGCCAAAAAAGGCTCCCAATCCATGCACCCTTCTCCATACAACTGAGACCGGCCGGCCCGATCCTTGTCCTATGAACATCACGACCATGAACTTTGGCATCCCTGCCACTGCATCTGTGAAGGACATGCAGTTGCTACACAACCTATGTACATTCCTTCCCCAAAGGATCATTCTTACTATATCACTGTACTAACCTCAAAACAATATTTGTGTAAACATCCCTTTTTTGACTCTAGGGTGCAGCTCAGGAGACAACCTACGAAAAATCCTTGAAGAGACACGCATGAGGGGCCTCATAACCCATGCACCTGAGTTCTTCAAAACACAACTCGAGAACTTGGACCTGGTCAACCGATTCTGCAAAACCCTGGAGCTGAAGATTTCTGAAAGTCTCAAGGCTGGAACTTCGAATGTCATACTTTTAGATGAGCCATCCGCTGCACCTGCTAGGGACTTGATCCCCCGGAGTTCTGCGACATGCCCTGAAGAGCCAAACCACCAAACACCAATCGAATCCCTTGAGAACTCCTTCCAAGCAGCCAAGATCTCAGCAGATTTGTCCAACCAGCCCGAGAATCCATCCCTCTCCCCTGATACAGACCACTTGGCCCAGGTTCATTCTGCAGCACCCAACCAACCACCTGGAACTATTGAAACCATTCCCACCAGGCAAATCCCCAATCACTCACCTCTATCTGCATCACCTTCTCCTGCACGTACCAAACCCAAGAAAAAATCACCAAGGAAACGCAAGTCCAGCATCCAAGACAATACTGCTCCGAAGGAGAAGAGAACTCGTAGGCCATTGACATACTTTGAGAAAGAAGAGCGTGCAAGGAAGGCTGCACAGAGGAAAGACCAGAGACTTTCTAGTGTCCATGCTGAAGTTATGTGCCCAGCAGGTGAGCCCCATATTCAACTTTGAACTTTCTAGAAGATCAAACCATTATTCGAATAACTCAAACTGACTTGGCCATGTCTCCACCTATTCCTTCTTTTTCCTTGTATAGACTTGATGGACAAGTTTTGGGAGAAAACCAAGTGTGATGAGGCTCGAGAAGAACACAAACAGATGCTAATTAAATCACGAAACCCCAGGTGGGACTATGGGCCACCTTTAATGTCTTTGGTAATCGATATGATCGAGTGGTTTGCCGATGACACCTATGCGGACTCGTTTTATACCAATCTTGATCTGTTCACTCCATCTGCTGAGGCAATGGAGGCTTTCAGAGCTGTTTTAAATCCTGCCTTCAAACATTGTATAGCCCAAAGTCAGTCAATCTTATTGGTCTCCTTTGATTTGATACTGCAAGGAACAACCATCCCTAACCAATTGAACCCTTCTTTTTCACAGGCCCCTGTCTCCTCCAGGTTGATTCTAGGGACCCATTCTTCCAGAAAAATGTCCTGAGATTGGAATCAATTTCCAATGCATTTATCTCCACCGACTCAATCAAAGCCTACTCGTGGCAGGCGCTTTACGGCATGATGATTAGGACTGATCATAATAGTCCTTACACAAACGATGAATTCACCAAGGCTGGACTCGAATCGGCAATTGATAAACTATTGGGCTTGGCAGTAATGTGTTACTATAACTTGGACCATTACATGCTTCGTACCAATAATACCAATTCCGAACATCCTCTCGCTGAAGACCACTCCATCGTCATAGCCGGTCATTACATTATTTCAAAGATAAGGGCAATCAAGACTTCCTCCGACACTCCTGCGAATACAACCGTTGCCAACAATAAAAATGGCCTCCTCATACTCCAGAAGAGGATCTGGGAGACACTACTTTGCTGCCTCATGATGCAACAGTCAAAATTATCTACGGACCAAAGCATACCTTCAAAGAGCTCCGATAAGAACCAAGGACGGAGCCTATTCCAGGTGGGGGATGTCAAAGATCCCAAGTCACAGGAGGAAATGAAAGAATGGGGAAAAATACGACTCTCAGCTTTTGGATCGATGGCTGTTTTTTTCCTCTACGGGACGGCCGGTTGGTGGCATTGTCTGGTGAATTCAAACCAGTTCAACCAGAAAGACGTTTGGGCGATCACTCAGCTTGCCCACGCCAAGACAGACTTCCTCTACAACCATGGGCAGGATGACGACAGGGAAGCCAAAGATATCCCCTGGTATACAATGGACAGCTTTGTACGATGGCTCTTGCGTGAAAGTGGGGATGCATTCAAGGAAACCCTGCAAAATTAAATGGGAGAATGCCCCCAAGTTCTGGGCCAGCCATGTAAATGATACAAACCTTTCACGATTTGCTCTACTTGATCTGCTCAATGAGGTTTGTGCTCCAGAACCATCGAAAAGTCTCAACTATAACGGAGAAGCCGCACCAGATGTCACATTCGATCCTGAAATTCAAACGCAGGTCAATAATCTCCGATCTAGGCTCCCCCCTCCGTGGCTGTCTACTATTACTGGATACAAAGACCGTATTGATGCTCATGAAAAACAATTAGAAGAAGGACGACAGCAACAAGATCCTATTGTTAACCAATCTCAAGAACATCAAATCCCGGCTCGTACCATTACAGAACGCCAGCCCCCACCATCTCTTTGGGCTCAGGCCTCCAACCACAATTCTACATCTGGGAATTTACCTACGTCTGATCATCCAATTCCAGTAGGGGGAAAAAAAATGTCCTTGGTAGCAGTCAAGAGTGCTTCTTCAGCATACAAACCACCAAGATTCAACGCACATCCAGCCAGTCATGAAAATCCTAAAGCAACACCATCAACTTCTAAACAACATCAGCCTACCCCTGAGACATCTGGCCCAGCAAAGGATGCAACCCATACTAACATCCCCAACTCGGCCAACTCCACCTCCTCTCATCATAATATTAATATGGCAGTTTCAACCCGGTTTCAACCCCCTAGGCCCATCAAGCCCAAGTCTAAACAGGCAAGACCATCGGCCGTAGCCTCAGGTTCCGTGGATGGCGATAGGGTCACATGGTCCCATTCAGGCCCAAGCCAACCTAGGTATACAGGTGAAGAGGGTGGATTTCTCAAGGAGGCATATCATACTGAAACCGACGAATCCGAATAGGATAACTACCAAGATTTAGATAACAAGTCCCACGAAACCACGAAAGAGCAAAGACCTTTTCCTCCTCAACACAGAGAAGATAGTGCTAAAGGAAACTATTTCGACCAACTTGCATGTTTGTTCATATCTCATGTATATCCTTGGATTACTATGTTTTTTTTTTTTTT